AAAACATTGTTTCCTGTAGTGGATTTAGTCCAACCTCGGTCAAATGCTAGCACCCAGTATGCAGTATTTTCAAGAGGAAAGTTGTTTGCGTTGTAAAGAGAGAACCTGGATAGCCAGCCAGATCAAGCCCAGAAACCCAGATCTTCAAGTCATGAGAACGTCGGGGAGAATCAGATTGTGTAGGATGTCAATTGGAGGGGCGGCTGTCAACCAAAATCTTAGTGATGCGAAGCAGTAGTTTTGGAAACGTCACTGGCAACGAGGGCTGGAGATGTCTGGAAATCCTGACAAATTGAATCCACCACACCGGAGGCGCACGATGCGAGGATATCTCAACGAGTTACTCCGCGGAAGACGGTTGTAACCTGCAATTGAAGTGTCGTGACCGCTCATTTTGTGGTTTTTTTGTGACAAAATTTGTGGTACAGAAACCAAGTATTCACCTCGATTTAGACAAATCAAATGACGTCAAATTTTAAAACTTTTCGGCTCTTTTTGATTGAGTTAGGCAAGTTACTTGGCTCTATCCGCCATCTAGCAAAACATTTGGCAATTCTAGTAGAGCAATGTTGTTTGCTTTGTGTGTTTAACATGGAAACATGATTAATGTCTTCTCATGACGCAGAAATCAAGCGGAAAATTGTTGTACTAGACACACCAGCTGCAAAAAAATTATTGCCAAATTCCTATCCATTGAGTTGGCGCATTAAGAAAAAATTGAGATCGTGGTGGTTGAGACTAAAGTGAATTTAATGCAAAACACAGTCAACTGAGCGATAATGTCAATTACGATTTGTAAAAGACTCGATTTATCATAACACCGGTCGATTTGAATGTTTGGTTGAACGTTTAAATGATTCCGCGAAATTGTTCAATCACGCCCCCCCCCTCTTTCAAAAATCCCGCCGCTTTTGCTGCGAGCCCATTGGCTAACTGGACAGATTTGAGAGAGTGTCCCATTTAAACACGCCCCTGGTGAATACGCAAGGGGCAGCGACGTGGTACTGCAACAATTAAACGAATTGCGAATGCGTTTGCTCATCCCCCAGGCACGATGCGTCATTGGGTGTGACAGCCCGTTCGTACATGTTTTCGCACTCACGCCGGCGTCCGCGTTTGGTAAACGTCAGCTTCAATTGTATTCAGAAAAAACTTTTTTTTTGAAATCAAAAACACCCTTTTCTAAGAGGGTCTTAGCCGTGACGACAAGGTCCATGCACTGCAGTCGATTTTTCTCACCCAAAATTGCCACAAAAAACCGAGACGAAATAAAGCAGTAGTTGGCAAATCATTTTGCTAGAATTTTTTTACAAAATCCTGGTTATAAAAATACGGGAATCGAACATGAAATGACCCAAGATAGACATTTTTGTGCATTGAATGCCTGGTGAAAATACCATAGTGTTCTCGCACACGCAGCCATAGCTACAAGTAGCCAATCACAGTGGCGAATGATGTGACATCGATTCCCACCTTGATGAATAACCTTGAGCGCTGTCCTGCTATTGGATTACACCAGCTGTAACGCCCAAGCCCCATTGGTTGCATGTTTTATGAGAAATTGCCCTCTAAGCCAATGAGGTGGCGTGACACTTCGGTACCTCGTAGGGCACGCGAGGCAGTTGTGTCAGAAGTTGCCATGAACGCCTCACAGGAACACCTCGAAATCCCAAGAGTTGCCTTGGCATCATGGAACTTCCAAGAGGTCTCCACATTCCTCTGTCTGTCTCTCTTTGTGCTGTTAGTCCTTCTAATAAAATACGCCTACCACAAGATGAAATGGGTCGCCGCGTACATTCCCGAGTCCTTAATTCTCATCGTCATCGGACTCATTTTCGGCGCCATCGTCTGGTACATTCCAGACTTTGTCCCACACTTCAAGAATGTGCGTCTGACACCAACTCTCTTCTTCAACATCCTCCTTCCACCGATCGTCTTGGAGGCCTCGTACAGTCTGTTCAACAGGACGTTCGCCGACTTCTTCATTCCCATCATGCTGTTCGCGGTGGTTGGGACAGTGCTTAACTTTCTGATCATTGGTCTAGGCATGTGGGGCATAGACGTGCTCATCGGGATTGGTGGACCAACAATCGACCTCTCCATCAAAGAATACCTCCTGTTCGCCTCACTCATCGTCGCCGTGGACCCGGTCGCGGTGTTGGCCATCTTCCAGGACATTGGCGTTGACGCCGGTCTCTACTACATGGTGTTTGGCGAGTCCTTGCTCAACGACGCAGTCACCGTGGTGCTGTACAACATAATGAGTGCCTTCGTTGCAGCCGACAACATCTACACGGGCGATATCCTTATTGGCGTTGGCTCATTCTTCACGGTGAGTCTTGGCGGAGCACTGATTGGTCTCCTTCACGGAATTTTCTCGTGCCTAATCACCCGACTATCGGCATTATCCGGCGCCCTGCCACTTGTTTTAATGAGCTACGTGGCGTACATGGTGGGCGATTTGTTTGGATGGTCGGGCATCATCTCCATGATAGTCTGTGGTGTCTTCCAGGCCGCGTACGCCTTCCACAATGTCGCCCCCTTGAAGGTGATGATGCTGAGGTCGGCTGTGGCCCAGCTGGCGTCCATTTGCGAAGCCATCATTTTCCTGCTCCTGGGCCTTGAAGTTATGGCAACGAACCTAACTTGGCATACAGGATTCGCCGTCAGTGCTGTCGTGATGTGTCTGTTCGCGCGCACCATCGTCACATTCGTCCTTTCCGCATGCATCAATCATAACCGGCCAGCTCACTCGAAAATACACTGGTCAGAGCAGATTATCATTAGTTATGGTGGTTTGCGGGGGGCTGTGGCCTTTTCCCTAGCTGTCCTCATCAAGGCCATGTTCTTGGGCAACCACGGGACTCAAGCGAGGGATGTTCTACTCACGACAACCCTCGTCGTCATCCTCTTCACCGTGGCGTTCATGGGCGTGACCATGAAGCCTCTGGTTCGTCTCCTGAATATCCGCCTGGCTTCGAAGAGTGAGAACAAACTACTGATAACCCTGAACAATTCTGTGATGGATCAAGCCTTGGTGTACGTCGAGACACTGATCGGTGAGCAGGGGAGCCATCGTCTGCGGAAGATGCTGTACCACGTCGACGACAAGTACATCAGGCCGTTCTTGCAGAAGGACGCCATGATACACAGTCAGAAAATCGTCAAGGTGTACGAGAAGCTGGCCCTTGAAATGCACACCGAAGCGATGGAGTCGCGTGGAAAACTTGAAGCAACTGGAACCAAGGAGGACAGCATGCAGACAAGCGGCGATGCTCGAACACGTTCATCAACTGTGCGTCCGCGTCTTCGACGTTTCCCAACCAGCGCTCTTGAAATACTCAACGACGTTGATGACGAAGTCGACGACGAGATATTTTTGCCATCGGTGAGGTCCAATATGCCCACGTGTGTTAGAAGACGTGTCAACGTGGCGAGCATGTATCAGGGAGACAACTCGGAGGTGTACTCACCGCATCGCAGCATCTTCCATCAGGCCAACGACGCGCATTTCGCGCAGTACAGTCGAGGGCAGCATCGTCTGTTGGAGGCGATGACTGGACACATTCACGACCAATCATCACGCTCCAAGGTGACCCACGCCCTAAGTGTTGACTCAGCCGCTGCGGACATGAACTCGGAGAAGAGAAAGCACGGCAGGAAGTACATGCGACATCACACGGAGGCGCCAGGCTATCGAGGGGGCTTATCACCGCATCACGAAGAAGAAGACTTGCTCGGCTCGGGAAGTGGCGGTCACCATTTCTCGCGTGGTCATAAATCACCCACGTCGCCACAAACCACAGATGTTTGAATCTCCAGATTCCACGCACAAACGTTTACGCCCCATTTTCCTAACACAGAAATCTAACATTTTCTCTTCTCTTTTCCTAATTTGCTAGTACAATGCTAAATTTTTATAAATCTGTTGTTTTCGTACCTGTAATGTGTTTGGGAGATTGGTAGACTCAATGAGATTTAGAGACTAAATTTATTAAATACTGGGGAAATGAATTCTACTGAATTTAGTCAGTATATTCTAGCTGTTGACGCTAGAGGTATTAGTGATAGAGTTAACAACGTCTTTAAACCTGGCTAATTTTCGACCTTAAAGCGCGCCTGATAAGGTGTACTTTACGCAGAGCGCTATGCACCCAAAATTTCTGCAACCTGTTTGGTTAGTGGTATTGATTTTCTTCGCTAGAGAGTTCTGAAGTGCGCGTGCTAACACAACAAGACCCACATCGATTTAAGTGGATTTTTTTATAATTCACTAAGACGGTTTTTGTTTAAAATTGCAACGTTGGCTTAGAAATGAATTCAAACCGTCCAACGCGACTAGAACAGTCACGTTACGGGGCACTTTCTAAGATCGAAAACTGGCCTAATTTCTAGAAATCGACGTGGGATTAACCTTGGTGGTTACTAAAGCCATGGCCTTTTCCCAACTGTAGATTCTAGATAAACCTGTGACCTCCACACAACTCTTGCACCAAGTTTTTTTTGCTGCAGTGCTGGAAGTGTGCGGTAACTGGTTCTGAAACGCTTTTGCACGAAGAATCTACAAGCTCAAACACTAGTGTTGGTTTTTAGACCCCTGCACCTGGTATTCACACGTGGCATGCCATTGTCGCCTGTTATAGGTGTGAATACTTCATAACCAGGCGATACTCAATTAACACTTCAACATGTTGGTGCACGACTCTTAATGAGCGTTTACGAGAGTGAGAATTACAAGGGAAGGTCTTTCGTTGTTAATCGTGTGGAATTTGTCAGTCGGTGAAATTTGATTTGGTGGAACAGTTCGATACAGTGATGTGCAATCCGGTCAAACCCCTACATTCGATTTTGTAGTGACTTCGGCAAAGTGCACTGTCTGACTGTCTAGACAAAAAAACATCGCAAAAAATCCCAAATCGGGTTATCACGTGGGACGGTGTTAAGTTAACAAGTGGATGCGCAAATGTCAATGACTGGGGAAATTCTCCACCTATCCAGCTACATTTAGTACCGTCTGGCGTCAGCAAATGTTTGTAATCGGTTATCGCGGAATAACAAACAAACACGTCACATAGTGTGTTTGACGTGAAAATTTGTTATTCAGGTGGAAATCCTAAACAAAGGACTTGTTACTACTAGACTTATAAGTACTATAGTGTCATAGGTATTCTCTATCAAATTGGTAAGCACTTTGGAGTATGCCAGTATCTCGTTTATGATACACCAACAGTTATGTAAATGCTTTGTGGATAAGCACAACAATGAATACAAGATTTAATGAAGCTACGAAATGAGTTCAGAACGGAGTTTGTCAAAACTCTTTCAAGTCGTCAATTTGGATCGTGGCCAGTTGGAAAGCGGTCTGGTAGATTTCGAGATGGCACTGATGGTGACTGTATTTGCGAGTTTTTATACGCATTTTGTCATTCGAATCAGCTGGGACGCTCCTTGAGACTCGATATCTACGTGTTGCCAGCTTTTAGACGGAATGGATCCAAGTGAACCGTCTGTGTCCTCGCTTTTTTCCAACGAAACGAACCTTCCATGGAACAGCCCCGTAGCAAGAGATGATAAATAGTAACTGCATGACAGCATTATAAGAGTAGAAGCTGAAAGCATGGAACCAGAAGATCTGAATTCACAGAAAAGGCATAATTGGAACATCTTCTACCGCGTGACCAACCAATCACCGCAAGGGAGTACTGTTGCAATCCAGGCAGAAGGTACAAATTTGTTTAACCCACAAGGCGTAGTCTGCCACCATGACAACGCTAGACCACCCTTCTCTTGACAGACTCTGAAACTGGCGAATCTTCCACGTGGAACAAGGACGAAACGTTGGAAGGTGTGAACATTGTTGATTTGTAAATATTTTTTTTTAAAGAAAATATGTTCCCGGCAAGATTGTGTGCCTGTTTTTGCACGAAATTTCTAAAAGTGAATGTTATGTCCGCGAATTACTGCCATAATTAGCGTAAATGTCATCGAAGAGGTTGTTTAGTTTGACAGTTACCATAATGTTATGTGCCCCAGCATGTGGTCTTGAACCATGCCGGGGCCACGGAATTAACCCTGGCCCGATTACGCTTCCCTGATGCCCGCGATGAAGAAAAAGACCGGAGAGGACGTGGACACAACCGTTTACATCAGAGCTCAATCACGTTGGTGTAGTTGCGTCTTGAGTGGGGTTTGCTCATGTGTATTTATACATCGGATGTGTGAGTCATACACCGGCCAACATCGAGACCTAGGTGTGAGGATAATCCAAGAGAAATACCGGTGCGAATGAGGGGGGAGTTGAGGATCCGCTCGGCTGGCGACAAGCTGCGAAAAGGGGAACCCTGTGTCGGAGGGAGGATTCATAACAAGGCTCTTTACTCTGACAGTTGCCATCATGAACACCCTTGCTTAGAGGTAATTAAAACTAGAACGCGCCCTATTACAAAAATTGTTTTTTAGTTGCCTAAAAATGCTTTAAACCTGAGTTGAGAGAAAATTCTTCCTTGTGAAACGTATCAGTGTTGGCACTATAAATGCCCGAATCATTTCATGTCAATTAAAAAAGCGCGGTCATGTGATGGGTTCGTGATAAACCAGTACCGGTTGTAAAACTCCGAGATTTCACATAACAAATGAACAGTTTATTTTGAGCAAAGTTCAAAAACTCAAATGACCAATCATACTGTTCGTCATCGACCAATGATTGAAGTAGAAGTAAACGACCAGGATTGGTTAATAACGAAGGTGTGTTCCACCAAGACTAGTGCCAGAACTCACTCATACGTCATTGGCCAAGGTAAATTATTGGATATTTATTGGCTAGCGATAGCACCTATCACAAGTGTCATCCTCATAGGATTTTTAGTTTTTGTTTTAACTTTCATGCATAAACGCAGCCACAGACTTGGGTGCTTGCGCTGGCATTTTATTTGATGGGCGGAAACAGATTTATCTGGGTCGCTTGTGAATCACGACATCAACCAATCAGAGACCTAGGTGTTGCCATGGCGACGTAAAGCCACCTCAATTACTAGGTTCTTTCAGTCAGGCGTGAGAATGAAGGCGCTGTGTTTTGACAGGGCAGAATCCTCATTTTGTCGCGGTCAATCATGAGTTCAGCTAGGTTTTAAATGAAACTCACTTTAAGGATCAAAATCTCTTGGATTCTCTTCGAATTTTCGACCCTGGTTAAGGTGTGGTGGTGGTGGTGGCGGCCCTAGATTCGGTTCCGCAAAATGGTGTCTGCGTCTACTCCCCGTCCAGCCATCATGTGCATCACGTGATTGTCTACACTGACACGAACACACACACACACTGCTTCCGCTAATTCGGCTTCATCAATCTTTGTTGGCCGCATAATTGGCCACCACCACGCCAGTGACTAACAAGGTGTCGCACGTGTTTAAAAAAACTTTTTAATCTGTTTTCGTAAAAATATATTTCCCTGGAAGATGGTGGCGACGTATTGTAATAATAGAGTTTAGAATACCCACAGGTAGCGTCAAAATCGACTATGCCTTTTTTGAAGGGCACCGTAGACGAAATCGTGATCGTCTTATGCATGGAGATGGATCTTTCGAAGACACAGATGGCTCTAGTGGTGAGTGGAACTTTGGTTCTCTGCCACACACACACACCATCGACACGGAACCACTCTAGACCCTCTCAATGAAAGGTAGGTGGACGCAGGTTCAAAAGTACGTTCTGACGATCTCGGTCCGTGGAATGCCCTCAAAATGATCGATTGAATTCGTCTTCGCTGAAGCTTGCTGACAATTTTCACGAGCTGACTTCGATCTCTGAAAGAACGGCGTACAATCAGGACCATTAGTTGAATTCGTGTTAGCTCACGTCGGTGTGCCACTTGCTACTGCACTGTGATTGGTTGGAAACCAGTTGCTTTTAATTTCGTGGCATGAACAAACTTGCTCACTACTCTATCCGAGGTCCTGATACCATCTACCTAACCATTTGCTATTCTATCATTCAGTACTAACAACGCCAGCATCATCATCGCCCTAATTGGTAAGAGTTTGGAATAGATTGTGGCCTAATGCATCGAGAACAGTGTTATATGAGGCCGTGGCGAATAGCAGGCCAGCACAGTTAGCATTGGTGAGCGGACGCAGTTTGCAAGCGCGAGCGAGCTCAAATCAATCGATTTTTTTCGTGAACGCACTGCAGTGGACAGACAGCCACCGCGTGTGAGGGCTGCGTGTATGCCCGCCCGACTCTAACACTGACTCACCCCCTTTATTATTGATTTTTGTTAGCGGTCGGCTGTAACACATGCGTATCGATTTTACGCGACTCGACTTGACTAGCGTGACGCGAATAAACGGTCGTGTTCTCTTTCGACTCCATGCCTTCTCTCTTCTCGGGTTATGACCGGCTGTTATTTATAGGGTTTTGCGGTAGTGTTAATTCAGGCCCCTAAAAGGTCACGAGACGTCGTCCAATCAGCATCCAATAATTTACCAAGGTCTTGCGGTCAACCAATCCTGTTGGTTGAATTTCAGTTCAATTATTGGTTGATGGCGAAATGCCCCACTTACTAGATAGCATTTTAATAATTATCGAGCGGACCTCCCCACTTCAAATAATTTCGATTGTCCTTGATGGTGTTGCTACTATAACCACTTCAGTAGACTAGTGTGGATACCCGGCTAACGCTGCAGGCTTGACGCAGTCGCGATAACTGATTCCAACGCCAATTTGTGACTAATCTGAATTCAGAAAAACGCGGAAACCTTTCCTTTTCCTTTCTTTGGTTATTTTGTCTATTTAAACTGTTTTGTTTTAATGTCCGGTGTGATTTCTGGCACACCCTAAGGACATAAGATGAGCTGAACTGATAATCGGCACACCGGGTGGTCCGCTCCTTCTCATGTTTCACGTCTCCCCTCGCAGATATTAAGACCTCTCTGATTGGTCAGTAATTGCTGAAATTCAGGCTTTTTTTCGTCGTGGACTCGGAAGCGTATGGCCCAAGTAGTGTTAATACCACCTCCTTTAAAAGACTAAATAATGACTTTTCAGCGTATTTAGGTGGTGGTTTAAACTAGGATTCGAACACCGCCAGTTTTAAAACGTTCTAACACACAGGGGAATGTGTTATCGTGCCCTATCCACGTCCAAATCAATCCCAGAATTTAGTTTATTGCAACAAGTAAAGTTTTTCATAAAAAGCTAAAAATTGAGTAAATTGTGGTAAAACAATTAAGGGTGACCGCCTTTTAGAGAAAAAAATTGCAGGGGAACTAATTTAAGCTGCCGGATTGGCTGCGTGTACTGACCAATGTTAAGCAAGGGCTGAGTCACAGAGCAGCCAATAATCTACAGCCAACCAAACACCAATCAAGTTGCGACAACCTACACTCGAAGAATGTCGACAATTTATGTTCAGGAGGACAGACAGTCAAACAGGCGCTATCAACGGCTTTCCTGCCGAAACATGGCTTGACGTGGTGCATTTCAACAAAGCCTGTTAGTTTACACTCGAGTTCGGTTCCCACAGTTTTCACGCGTTTTATGGGTTAGAAACGGCAGACAAATTCAGCACTTCTGTTTCGCATTTCTGTCTGCTAAAATAATCAGACGGCAATTCGGTATATAATCCAAAAATAATCTCCCGCCGACGTAAAAAAGTTGAATGTAACAAAACAGGTTGAATCACGCACCTCTGTGCACCATAAAAAACGTCACAAAATGCACACAGCCAAATCTGTACCAGAAACCGCACCTAGATATTGAGAGATGCCATAGTGTTGACGAATTCCGGTGTAAAATGTGTTTATGATGCTTCCGTAACCTTCATGCGGCAATGCTAGTCTTAAGAGTACAACAGCTCGAGAAATTTTTAGCTGGAATAAATAAGTTCCGATCGATAAGCAAGATTCTGAGCAGAAGTCAAATAGTCGGTCGTTGCAGCAGTTTGTTCTTAGCCAATGAAAATCACTCAAGTAAAATGCCTAACAATTTGATTGGGTAGGAGTGAATTCGTGTTTATGTGTACTAACTCCATGGCTTCCAGGGCAACTCCTTTGTATTTTTCATTCCAGGTATTCTCCGAGCTTGATTAAGTCAAATTCTTGTACATATCAAGTATTTCAACACGCTTCACTTAAATTACGAGCCAACATCAAAAGCTGATTGGTTGACCTCAAGTGCACTCAAACCGAGCTGTGATTGGTTCCTAGCGGATGCATTTTTGCGCCACTTTTTAACATGGAAAGGTCACCGAGATTTCATGAGTCCTGGAGACTGCCAATCAGATCGGTGTTGAACTGAGCGAATCTATATCGCTTCTTTCATCTGAACAAGGGAAAAACAAGATTAATTCAGTGAAATTAAGATGGAAAGTTCTGAATATTGTCTATAAAAAGGCCGTTAACTACGCATAACACAAAATTTGGTCAATTTGTCTATATACATGCATAAAAGTCGACCAGTCTTTGCCTTCACTGGGCTCGAAGTTTTTCATTGGCTGGGAGAACAGATTTGTCAGGCCCCACACAACCACTTTCCCCATCTGTTCTCCAAATCTTGTCATATTGCTCAGCTGTTAAGCTCTTTTTAAAGTGGCCGAAGATGCCGACTAGCTGTTCGGTGGGAAATTTCACATTACTTGAGCAAATTCGATCTCTACTTAGCTCTTTCCACACTTTTGTATTGCCTTGGAACAAAAACCGATAAATCTCTGAAGGTCACCCTGCCAAAATGGCGGTAACATTTTCTCATCTAATTGGCTACAAAAGTAACCAGTCAGTTAAGACCGCAGAGTTGCAGTTTTTCCTCATGGACGCTAGGTAATCCCTTAGTAATTTGGCTTGACAGCTGACAGGGTCATTGATTCCTGAAGACGGATGCATGAGGGATTAGCAGTAATAAACGTATACATTACATCTTGTTGTCGTGAAAACTAATCAACAAGCTGATTGGTCAGTAAAAAAATCCCAGGTATCTGATTGGTTGGCACAAAGTAGGTGCATACCTCGATTTCGACGGTTAAAATGATTGGTGTTTTTTAATCATGAAAAAAAAACATCCCATTGTTTTCGAGTGTGCTGGCTTGCTCTGTTTCCGGTTGCAACCATATCCGCTTGCCAAGAAATTTGTTTGACATTAATTAAATCTGTATGATTTTTCTAAAATATTCACAGTTCATTCGTCAGTTCTGGACCTCGCTGTTTAAGCCGAGGTTTTAAGACAAATGGCTCTTCACAGGTGTTGATACTTTCTTTCTACGTAAACACTTTTGACTGTTGCACTTCAAACATATTTTTCACACACCACACTGATGATTCGGCCCATTTTCTTTGGAATGCAGAATTTGAACTGTTTTAGCCTAGTAACCCTCTGCTACACTATTTACAACGGCTTTTGGAGTCACAAATAATTCCGAGTTGGTAAAAGAGCCTTCTGCGACTTCATTATGGGCTGTTGCAGTCTTTAAGGCAACATTTTATAACCTACTTGTAGCGAGAATTATCGTGTTGCTTGGAATAGACCTTCGGAGAGTATTAGAGACATGGAATCCAGTTATGGAGCCCAAAATTCACCAACAACAAGGTCGTTTGTTTGTTCGAATGCGGTGCAAATTTAAAAGGATGATTGTTTGAATCGGTCCAGAACGGCCGAGTTAGAAAATCGCGGAAAAAACACAAAAATTGGATTCATTTGGGCTGTTAAAAAAGACAAACAACTGAACCTAGTTACGTTGTATTACTGTAGTAAAAATTGATCCGTATAGATGACGTTTAAAGAAATTCTCCGCGCAAATCTAGACAGCTGTCCAAATTGTCCATAATCTGGATTATTTGGGCTAAACCGAATAATTTCTTTCGTCGACCAATCACCGTCAAGTGACAGGAAATCTGTTTAACCAATACCGACGTTTCGCATTCATGGCTATGCCTGCTACGTGACCGAACTGATATATATGCGAGTTATATAAAAATGAAGTCGGTACATTAAAATCGGTGGTGTTGCTAACACGTGAGTTAGGGAAACTTGACATATCACTATGGCAACCATCCAAACACGAATCAGTGATTTCTAATTCGCTGTTTCTCGGCTTCTGAACAGATGTTAAACCGACTACACATCAAGAATGTAGTAGTTTCAGGGGCTTCATCAATGAAAGACGTTGATAACGTTTCTAAATTAAATCCTAATTGGATGATAATGACAACAGAAATGTTAAAATTATTTTGAAAGTAACTTGTGGTACTTGCACTACAGCTAAGCATTTAGGCTGCACAAGCAACCCACAAACATGCGTCCGCTGTCCTCACGAGAGGTCACAAAAATCTCCCAACAGTTGACTGTTTTAATGGCCACGAGGGCGTCATTGATTGGTTGATTCCAGCTGCCCACACACGTCACCGACCAATAGGCTGCAGCTACCGCAAAAGTAGCTCCCTAATTGGCCAAAATGTTACTAATTTTCTCCTGCACGATTTCAAATGTGTACATATCGAGAGGCCAGGGCAAAGTCGTGATTTTCTACTTGCAGCAAGCATGGGTAACACGAATGGCACCATGGGTGGTTTCAATAAGTCGTGTTCCTTCACGGAACTGCACGTTGCCCCACAGGAACGTCCAGTGATTGCATTGGCCGGCCTCAAATTCGACGAGCTAGCGATGTACCTCACGGTGACGCTGTTCATGCTTGTCGTGATGCTGCTCAAACTCGGCTACCAGAAGCTACCGCATCTGGGATCTTACCTTCCAGAGTCGCTGCTGTTGATGCTGGTTGGTTTGGCCTTTGGCGCGATCATCCGCTACGCCGACACTGACTGCACCTACACCAACAAATGGCGTCTCTCACCAGACCTATTTTTCAACATCCTCCTCCCACCGATTATGATGGAGTCCGCGTATAGCATCTACACCAGGAAGTTTGCCGAAATCCTTCCCACGATCCTGCTCTTCGCCGTAATTGGAACAGTGCTGAATTTCCTCTTTATTGGCCTCGGTTTGTACGTGGTGGAGCTGAGCATTGGAATCGGCGAACCGAATCTGTATTTTGGAATTAAGGAATTCCTGCTTTTTGCCTCGCTCATTGTCGCCGTAGATCCAGTCGCGGTGCTTGCCATATTCCAAGATATCGGGGTTGATTTGAGTCTGTACTACATGGTGTTTGGTGAATCGTTGCTCAACGACGCCGTGACTGTTGTGTTGTACACAATAATGAGCGCGTTCGTGGCCTCTAGCACGATAACCGGTTGGCAGATTTCCATGGGAATCGCATCCTTCTTTACGGTTAGCCTTGGCGGAGCTCTGATAGGCCTGCTTCACGGTATACTCTCCTGCCTTCTAACCCGGTTCAATGTCGGAGCTGAGAGTCTGGGCATTTTGCTGCTAAGCTACCTAGCCTACATTGTGGCCAATCTCTTTTCCTGGTCTGGCATCATCTCTATCATCGTGTGCGGCGTCTTCCAGTCCGCCTACGCCTTCCACAATCTCAAACCGATTTCAGTCATGCTGCTGGAGTCGGCCGTGGAGCAGTTGTCGTCAATCACGGAGGCGATTATCTTCCTCCTCCTGGGCTCTGAGGTGTTCGCGCTGAAGCTGCGTTGGCACACGGGCTTTCTGATCACTTCATTGGTGTTGTGCATCGTGAGTCGATTTGTGGTCACGGTTGCACTCTCTGCCGTAGTCAACAAAAACCGCTCCAAGAAGAGACGCATCTCGTGGTCGGAGCAGATTATCATCAGCTACGGCGGTCTACGAGGTGCAGTGGCTTTCTCCCTAGCCGTGCTAATCAACGCGGAAGACCTTGGAATGGGCTCGCATATGGCTAGAGAAGTTCTCGTCACTACCGCGATAGCCGTCATATTCTTCAGCGTCGCGATCATGGGCACAACCATCAAGCCACTGGTTCGTCTGCTGAACATACGACTCAACGCACCCAAAGAGGCGAAGCAGAGCCTCTTTCTCACTCTCAACGACTCGGTGATCGAGGAGACGCTGATTTTCGTGGAGGAGTTGATCTCCACGAAGGGTGTGCACTCCATAGTGCGAGCACTTTCTGACTTCGACGACAAGTACATTAAACCGATTCTACAACGCGACGCCGCCACGCACGACATGAGGCTTGTCAACGCCTACGACAAGCTCGCCTTGAAGATCCACTCCGAGGCCATAGACTCGCGTGCCTCTCTGAGTCATCGGGAGGTTGATCTGCCTCGGGAGCATTCACCTGAACCTCCGGAACTTGACATCTCCTTCCTCCCAAGCTTGATTCTTCCACCGTGTCTACCCTCGAACAAGCATCAGCGGCGTCTTACACTAGCGGCGTTGTCTAGTATGGCTCCAGGAGCTACGCTTGTTCCTGGCAAGAGTATGGATTTCGCGTCAGCTCAGAGAACTCGATTTGCCAAGCTCCATCGCACTCAAGCGACCTTCGCGCGCACCATGGAACACTTTGTGCGGCAGTACGAGTCCACAGAGCTGCAGATGGATAGCGCGAAGCGTCAGAACTCAAACCGTCGTGGCCAACTCACACGGCAGTACGCAAAGTGCGCTGACACGGACTCCAGTTCTACAGGTTTCCGTCGGCTTATGAAACCACGTCCAAAGTTGACTTTTTCGCACAGCACCCTCGCGAGGACGCCCGAAGACGCTCAAGAAGAGGTGGACGAGGCGCTTGTGGAGGATGGCAAATCAAACACCAACAAGTCCATCGATTAGACATCAAGAAACCAAACAATCGAATCAGATTGAGTTCTTTCATGATTTTTTTTGTATAATTATCCTTATCATACTAATTTAAAGAGCGCGCGCAGACTGAGCTTATTTTGTTGCATTTTTAAATACCTGGTGGCCAGGGACATATTTTTGTGATGTGAAAAATAGTGAAGAATGTCGTGGTTTAATGCGCTAGACAATTGATAATTTGTTTAAGCATAAATTAACCACATTTGAACCTAATTCAACCTCGAATCACTGAGTGCGAATGATGTGAGAGAAGAGACAATTGATTGGTGCATGCATAGACCAATGAGGAGCAAGCGAGCAAGGTGCGCGGTAGATATGGAAATGGTGTGCTCTGCAGACTACAAAAACGGCATGATTATTAAATATAAAGACTTTTATTAAAAACTCAGAAATGAGCTAATGCATACGCACGGAGTCAGCATCACAAACAGATGACATGGCCATCGCTTTTAACCAATAGGTGTTCAGCACGTGACTACCTTGCCAAAAACACAAAATTATGCAAACAACAGAAACTGCTTTGATTCAGTCACTTTCAACCAGAGTTCCACCTCACCAAATCTTCCTTTTAGAGCTGTTAATCTTCCATATGCTACTGATGATCGTGTCAGTAGCATAACTTAAATTGTAGGATTTGTGTAAAAATTTAACACAGCAAAGGAAACGGATCTTGCAAGGTTGCAGGAAATCAAGATGCCCACACGATCACAGTACAGGTTAAATCGATGAAGAAACTTATTATATTACGTTGATTTTACTTAAAAAGGTGCTATGGCAACCTTATTGTAAAATCATCCCTTACAAGCATCAGCTCATGCGTGATTTTTGGAGGCAGCCTTAGATCTACTACTTAATTAGAGGATCTCGAAGGAAAATGTCATTGTTTTGGTAGGGTTCAACGAATTTGCCCTGTAGATTCCGCAGCGATGCGTTTGCGTTTAAAAAAGTAACACATAAAAACCCCAGAACTACTCAGAACAATTGGAGTATGCAAAATTCAGCACCGGTGGAAGGCATGTATCCTTGCCGTTTCCGGATGAAACGCGATTGGTTAAAAAGTGCTAGTAAAGCTGATGCAATCGGGGAAAGCACGGAAACATGTCTACTGAAAAAAATTAGCAGATTCTAAATAAACGAACACTTGATAATTGGTGTGTGACCAAAGGTTCACAACACACCAATCCAACAGATTCATACACTTGCGGAACAAATTAAACAAAACCCATGGACGCAGCCATAGTTGGTGGTTAAGAATCCGAATGCTTAAACGTGGTTCCATGTCTTGAGAAGGCTCGATTTTAATATCTTGCAGAGCGCTGTCAGATGCTTACATGGAATGATGGAAACCATGATTCGTGAAAACGAGTAACAATCAGTTCGCTTTTAACCTTGGTTAAGACGTCCAAGAAGACGTCTGCGTCTGCACCTTCAACTTGTTTATTGTCAAATGTTCGCACTCTAACTTGAAAGCACATAAATTGCAGCTTATTTTCCCCAAAATGTCACGATTTCGCCACACATAAGTGCGTTTTTTATCATTTAATGTAACTATCAAATGACGTTTTAGTTTCTTCTTGAAGTGACAATGGATTGCAACAACAAATCTTGTCTTTACTGCTTTTTCTCTACCTGAAATACGGAGTGATTATTGCCAGTTTGGAATATATGGAAAAAATCAAATTTAGCATGCATCTTTAAAGCAATGCATTTGAACAAGTTTAGCGTGGACATGATTGATGGTAGAAGACTAATTAGACGTAAATGAAGGTCAAGAGGACACGTTGGCAATTTCTGTCAGATGGTTATGTTTCTCTACTGTCATTGCAGCGAGAATGGCACTTACATGGTAAGTTCACATGTGAAGGCGTGACAATTTTCTCAACTTAGTTGCACAATGCTACACTCCCATTGGCCAGTTACCAAAATTTCGGTTACTATTTAAACAAACTCCGCATCCGATTGCAGGCCGTAAGTACATTCAAGAGTTTTCACCACGTCTTTTCCCTAATTGTCGTGCTGCTCACATCACAACATGGCCTCACATGCTCTCGCACTGATCTGGATTACGCTAGCCACCGTCTCAGCCACGCCAATTAGCATGACGACGACAGTCAGGTAAGGCATGAATGGTTTTTCTAACTCGCTTACTATTCAAACTTCACCATTGCGATTATTTTGTGCTCATGTAGAATCTTGCGACGTAGTTTTTTTTTAATGTCATGGGTTTAGTGAAACGACTGAGGGCACTGACATCGTGGATGTGTCTGGTGATGATTGGACCTCGGCGGAGAAGCAACTGCGTGGTCAAATTGATAATCACATTTGCAGTTGCGTTCACACACTGAACTACACGCAACACGACAACCAGCCGCTTCCAAGTGTGGAGGAGGCGAAGGCGTCGATTGGTCTGGTGGGGTTCCTGACGAGTCTGCGTCCGTTCCGACTGGCAAACGAGGGACCCATGGAAGCTACGTGGGTTGGCTGGGGACATCCGCTTGAACCTAACGACGACAACGAGGTGCCTATCATAACGTTTGATGTTGGGTCCACGTGCAAGACGCATTCCATGCGCTGGGGTCGGTTGGAAAGATCAGCTTCACAGCAGCCAGCTAGATCGCCCTTTTTCATCTTGTACTGCCGAATCATGCCAAATCCAAACACAGCGACGACAGATGAAGGAGACAATGTTTTTTAGTTTGTTTAAAATGTTCCTTAGATGCTTGTTCTGTTGCTTGAGGTAAATACAAATATGTGCTTTGTTCCATTTGTGAATATTAATTCAACAAGTTGGAATAGCGGATTCTACGCACTAATTGCTCTGTCATAATCATGCATATTGCCAGAAGAAAATTATTTGAGCTGTAGTATAGCTTGTGATATTAAAATTGATGATTTCAATTATCGACACACTTTTAAATATTTACTCCGAATTTCGACACATTGCAATATATAATAGTACGTTTGTTGCTGAATTCAAACATGCCACTAAACAAAACAGATGCATGTTTTAGGGACCGTCCATAATGGTTACATGGTAGACATAATAATACAGTATGTTTAATTAAAATACGTTTATAATAGACTAAAATATGCAGATATGTGCTCTCACGGGTCTAAATATATTTTTTTGTTCAAGTGAGTAGTTTCTGTTAACGGATATCTAGCAAACTAATAATAAATAATGTGGAAAGTGTAACTACTGCATTATTCATCTTATGGACTGTCACAATACCTTTGAAAAATTCTCGTATATTAGGAAAACACCCTTGCGCGCATCCGTTACAGGACACGTTAGATTTTCAACAGCGACCTGATTAACTTTCTGTCTAACCAACTTTCATTAATAAGGAAATAAAATCAACCAAAATATTCATATCTAAGCACAATGTCTAACCAATCAAAAAGTGTTAGTAAGGCATTTAGTAACCTTACTTTGCGAAATGTCGAACTTAACTGCATTCACGATATCTGTTTTTAAATAAATTGATTAAATGATATGCATATAAAATTTGGTCAGTTGTATTATTAACTTCATAAAAGACATTTATTATCTTTTCACCTTCAGTTGTGATGCCACAAGCAGACAAAACAGCCCTTTTTAACTGATTGCAATCAATAGGCTAACTTCAACCTTGATCTACTTAACCTACATAGTCAATGTTCCGGAATACATTTCAGAGTGGATTTTTGTCAATTCTTTTTAGCATTGGTTCAAAGCCTCTGCAAATTTGGGATAAGACGGTCCGTTTTTAAATATGCTCTAAATTTGTTTTCGATCTTACGATTCTTTTTTCCAAACAGCTCCAAATGTTAATAGCTTTTCCAGTCTTTTAACTTAGTTGCAACATTTTTCTGGAAATTCGTGCAGCATCTATGAAGTTTTTTTCTTTGTCTCTTTTGTATTTAATTTACCTTATGTCGTCAATGAAGGTAATATATTTGTATATCTACCATTCTGTTTCAATGCCATTAGAGCGCTGTTGTGTATTTTTTACTTAATTACACACTCTGCTTTGCCTGATTCAGGTACGAAATGGTCACATAAAACGAACAACAGATAGCGACATTGAATCATTAGTCTTGGAGTTAATTGGCAATAATGTCAGCACCACCTACATCACATGTCCAGCCGACCTCACGAAAACCCTCGGTATCAAGTTGCCCATTCTTGTTCTGATTGTCAAAAACATGGAGCGCTACTTCACTTTCGAAGTTCAGGTATGCGATTTATCCACTTTTTTTGTCCCTTAAATGGGAAACATTTTAGTCCTAATCACATTAGCTCCGACAAAAGAGAACGTCGCATTTTTGTGGCTTCAGGTTACCAGTAGACTGATTTAGCGTCATTTGTCTTTGTGAATTTAACAGATCCTCGACGACAAAGGCGTCAAGAGAAGGTTTCGAGCGAGCAACTACCAGAGCACTACGAGGGTGAAGCCCTTCATCTGCACAATGCCTCTTAGGATGGAGGAGAAGTGGAATCAGTTGCAGTTGAACCTGGTCGACCTCACGAAGCGCGCCTACGGCACCAACTTTGTCGAAGTCCTGCGTGTTCAGGTAACTTGCGGCACTTTATCGATCGATTACGCGTTGTTGTAGGTCCACGCGAACTGCCGTTTGCGTCGAATATTCTTCTGCGATCGCCTTTACAAGGAGTCGGAGCTTCCAGCAGAGTTCAAGCTCTACCTACCTGTTACTCAGTCCAAACCTGACTCATGATGTGAATCTTTTTTTCTTTCTGTTGTATAAAGAATTCTAACTCTACTCTAAGTCGTTTTGGCAGTGGGGTTTCTCATTACATAGCCGTTGATAAAATGTCAAAAACCCGAAGTACTTTACACTTGCTCCTTTTGCTGTTCATTTTCGGTCTATAAAGTCGGAAACCACTATTTTTTAAATTTTCATAAACCGTGTCAGATTTTTTCTGCTAATAAGTGATATATCATGCTAGGTAGTTAGTCAGTTGATTTAAATTGGCCGATAAAATGGCATTCTTTTAGAACAAGGCATTAGCTGATGCCAGTTCGTAAGATTTTCACGATTAAGTTGTTAAATTGCCTCTTTGGTTGGTTATCAACAAAACCTGGTTGGTCCGTTCTTGCCCAAGCAATGAATGGTGTTACTGATAATTTCTTCAGTAGTATGTTATTGGAGGAAAAAACCCAAATATTGAAGCCTGATTTACTACTGTTGAGGCTAAAACCCTGATATAAGTAAATATAGTAATATAATGGGTCCTTGGAGAAGACGTTACGATCAGTTCGAACGGAAATTTTTCGTAATTGGCGGGATTTCGAGTGTTTGGCAAGGTATTTACGCACCTTAATACTGATTGGTTGACAGCGGTTGTCAAGACGTCTGTTCATGGTGCGTGCATTTGATCTAAACAGACTTTACAAAACGGCATTTTAAAGATAGTGGGTTACATTCCCGCTATCGCGCGCCCTTTCCTCGAGGTTGTCATTTTAAAATGATTTGCTACTGAAATGCAATAAGTACGAGGTTGTGGGTAACTTAATCAATTAACCCACTTGTGATTTCTACACAATGAGTTGAAAGCGAAATTTGGTGGATCTCCTCTAAAAAGTTTCGCAATTAAATGTTTTGTTTTAAATTGACAAATTGCGGGTATATTGGTTAATGCATTACCAAGTAGACCCTGGTGGCGGCAATTCAAATGTGACGAATTCCTTTTAGGAAATCAAATCACTTACAAACCTGAGAATCAATTCTTCAGGTCAAAATTAACAATTAATTTTGTGAAACTTCAGACATTGTGTTTCGCTCCAAAAATTATCAGGGAATTTAAACAACAGCTAGTTTCTGGGAGTAATTCATACTTTGGGCAAATGTTTTGCAGTGGACATTTCATGTTGAATGCTTATGTGAAATTTTTGCGTGCTGAATCACGCCATATTCACCGACAAGTGGTCTGAATTCATGTAGCACAGTTAGCGCAAAATAGCGTTGTTAAAATCCTTCTCAATTCCGTCCACAGTCGACCAGTTATTAGCCAATGAAAATCTGGCATTTGACATCGATTTTTGATCAATATAAATTCGAAATTCCGCGCAGATTCCATCGGCAGCGTGCAGTGGAGTGTCATTTTCAACATGGCGTACAAAAAAATCTACTCTTGACTCCCGTTGATGCGGAAGAAATTGTTCAAGATCACATCTTGGTATCAGGCAATTTCCAGCACCTGCCTGACCTCTTGACGGTAAACATCGATTCCTATCACCTCCCGACGCCAATCAATCATCTTAACCTCATCGCTCGACTCTAGTTTTTTTCTTATTCTGGCCTCACCTCTCGTCTTACGATCAATCATTCAGATATCCTGCTCCAAGACGAGGTCGTATTTCTAAATTCATTCCGAACGTCTTGCGACAAAGTACAATTGCGCCAAGCGTTTCATTCACCATCCGGCAACGCCTATTCGTCTCACTTAATCACTCGTGTTCAATTATTTCTAAGGCCTCAAATCGTCCACGAAATACCGTTGTGGGCCCCAGCATGTGGTCTTGAACCACGCCGGGGCCACGGAATTAACCCTGATCCGATTACGTTTCCCTGATGCCCGCGATGAAGAAAAAGACCGGAGAGGACGTGGACACAACGGTTTACTTCAGAGGTCAACCACGTTGTTGTCGTGTGTGGGGTTCGCGCGTGTGTATTTATACCTCAGATGTGTGAGTCATACACCGGCCAACATCGAGACCTAGGTGTGGGGATACTCTAAGATAAATATTCGTGTGAATGAGGGGGGAGTTGAGGATCCGCGCAGCTGGCGACATGCTGCGAAAAGGGGAACCCTGTGTCGGAGGCTGGAGCGACCAGATTAAGGGGTGTGAATAAACACGATTCACAAGAAAACTTACGACCTACCTTTCAAACCGCATCGGTAAGTTTGTTGAGCTACGTGTTGCCTGCCTTCCTTCTTCTTCTTCTTCTTCCACGTTCGTGACCTTGTTAGTGTAGATTGTTGGCCCCGGTGTGGTTTCCAAAACAACATCTGGGCCCTCTGCACCAATAGTCGGTTTTGACAACTACTGGGGAAATCGATCGATCAGAATCCGTTGAACCGTGTCAAAATATCATCGACAAGTCAATTTGGACGTTGGACAGCACAGATTATAAAGAATAAAGTTAGTGCGAATAGCGTTGTTCTAATCGTCTTTGCGTCCTTTAAATTCGACTAGATTTGATTAGCTGCAAAGAATTCATCTTCCACCAACACAATACCCGGCCTGCATCCACAAATTAAAAAAATCATTCACAACCATTTAAGCCTGATTGGCTGGTGATTATGGATGGCCATCAGATCGACACTTATTTACAGATTTAGGTGATAACACGAGGAAATTACGAAGTTGGTTTCGCAAAAAAGAATTGCAAGCAGCATTACTCCCTGGCTGGTCGCTTTCACAAACACCAAATCCACCCATGTCGCTGCAATTTCCCTCACCTCCGTTGCTACGTGGATGCGAAAATCGAGGTTTGCTATCGCGAACCTGCCCGATTAAATTTGTCTGTTTTGTGAGAATTTAAAGTTGGGACAGTTAAACACGGAGCCAAGTTGCCTGTGACTCTGGTGTAGCACGTGAAACAGACGTGAAGCCAGACGGTGTGTCACCAGACGACGTGAGATTTGGAATCCAGAAATTGTCATGCAGATGTGCGCGGGTTTGTTTTTTAAAGTCGTTTTCATATAGAATGCATACATTGGTTGAAATTGTTCGATATTCCCGTAAATCTACAGAGAAAATCAACAAAGTGCTATTAGTGCTATGATCTGCCGGATCTCGGGCATTTTGATTGGTTGTTGGAATAGTGATATCTTGTAGTCATGTGGTGAATCAAAAGATGTGCCTTTTTGGGTGTCTATTACAAGGACAGAATCGGTTTTTATTAGATTCCGTTGTGTTTTTTAATTCATCGATTATTACCACAACGAATGACTTGGGGTGTATAGGGAAAAGTACATTTGGTTTGGCAGATACCAGAGGTAAAATAAAATTAACGTTTGCAGGATGAAGGTCAGGTTAAGGATTAATTTGACAGTTTTAGAGCCCCACGTCACAACGAACGACACACCCAGTTTATCGATTTTTCGCACTTCGGGTTTGAACTTTACTCGCGGCTTAATTAAAAAACAGGCGATTGGTTGAATCGATAACTCAACATCCTCAGGAATTGGCAAAAACGTCGCAATGGTTAAAATGCAGACATGTAGACTAAAACTCACATGTGGTGGCCCTGTCTGATTCGTTTCTTAAATCGAAGCAAGTAAGCTGGTTCGGGTTCGGACATCTTTTAAAAGTGATATGCTGTACCATCCTCACGACCTCTGTTTAGAGCGAGCAGATTTCATTTCACGATCGTTTACTTCACATCATTTCAGTGAAAATGTAATTCCCGCCATCCAAACACGACTGTGGTAAGTTGTGGACAGGAAATTGCACAATGATTGATGCCCTCGAAATTCCACCAATCATAATATAGATAAATATCAATTCCTCCGCCAGTTTCATTGGTCATTTGACACGCCAATAACCAATGAAAGTTATTTAATTTTTGAATGAATACAAATCAGCCTCCAGGCAAGACAGTCGGCCCGCGCATCCCCAAAAATGTCATGCAACAAGCCGTACCACACCGGTTGTTCTTTATGAAGGCTCCAACTGAGAAGATGGCCGGGCGGAATGGGCGATGATGATGCCCAGTTCCCCTTTGATGTCCCTCTGGCGGCTGCGTGCGCGCACGCGTGCGTACGTGCGTGCGCGTACCGGTCACACGTGCGCACCTGTCACTGTCACCTGTGAGTAGGGCCGCGACATGAAAGGATTTGGAGACACGCGTGGTTTGATCCGCATTGGTTGGTGGCGGTCGTGGTATTTACCAATCAGCTTGATTTAAACTAACCTATTTACACGTTTCCGTAGGTATGCGTTATGGCTCCAAGAATGTCATGGAGGTCAGCTTTGAAATATGCCCAGACGGCTGCACTCACTGCCGAAATCGCAACGCTTTGAATTGCCAAAATCGTGAAATCCACTTCAGTAAAACAAGGCAGAGAATGGCGCCGTGTTTAAAACCGAGATCAAGCGCTTAATTACGAATTCACACACACAAGTAAACGCAAAACTTTGCATAATTTCTCAGTTTTGTTGATCCACACAATTTAAGCGGCGCCAATTTTCGAAAATCGATTTTTTTCTTTGAATGTAGCAACTCACATTACCATAATTTCATTTTCGTTTTACTTTTCAACAAGCGCCCTGGACAAATCGCTTGAGAAATCAATAGTTGTTTTGGCCATGGCTATTTGAGGATAATGATCGATTCAGATAGTGGAAGGTTCTACCGAAATTGAAGTACAACCTTCTAGGACATGTCTTCGTGACGTGTCGTCGTAAACACAGTTCTTGGTGCTTTTTGGCATTAGGCAAATGATTTCAACAAATGTTGCTTTTAAATCGATGTGTGTTTGTTGATTTTTGTCCATATTCTAAAATCACCAGCGAGGAAATCCAACAGTAGGAAGAGAGAAAGCTGAAAGGTTAAACGAGTTTTTTAATGTTGTAGTGTTTTTCCACCAAGGTTCCCTGCTTCTTCTTCCTCTTCTTTTAACTCACCCTAATTGAACTCCGCGCACGACACGCCAACTCACTTCTGATTGGCTGATGCGCGCGTGCGCGTGCACTGGACGACGTATTTAAACAAGTTGGGTACGCGCAGGCGCCTTATTTGCGCTTGACACGTTGGGAAGAAGCACACACGCACGAAGTATTAAATGAACGTTGATGGCTATGCCTGGTGATTTATGGCAACTTATCTTTGGGTGCATTGTGAACAAGATAAGAATGTACGCATTAGCCTGTCTCCTTGTGTGTTCTGCAATTTCGGTGGTTTTGGGAAAACCCTCAGCGCATCCTGGCTTGTCCATCGTGACAACTAGCATCGGTGGCGCTAACCCCCACCTCCTACCAAACAACGCCGATTATTCCCGCAAAGTGAGCGTGAGTGTTGGGTCAATTCTAGATCAACAAGAAGCTGCTGCCAAGTCGAATAGCCATCGAGGTCGCAGTTCCTTCGGAACACGCTCTGTTCCAAGCAACGATGAGCCGGAGGCTCTACGAGTTCCAGGGAATTACCATCAGCAATCCTCTTTCACATGGTCGGAACCCTACCCGGCGTCTGCCGACGTGAGTCTCTACGGTGAGAAGATCAACAGCGCCGCGGTCTCGTACCTGCAGCCAGACCTGAGTCATGGAACACTTGCCAAGCTTCGAGTCATCCTCGGCGCCGACTACGACGACGCCTGGATGTCCGTGGAACCCAGACCCCCGGGAAACGAGACCACCGGCTACCCACCGAGTGCCTCCAGCCACAATCTTCAGCAGCTGGTCAATGGACTGAATTTCACCATCGTCGACGATGTTCCAGGCGTGGGCAGACAGGCGATAGCCCTCGACGCCAAAGAGTCCGCCTTCCTCAAGCGATGGCTCCTTCAGCGCGCCACGTGCCCGGTGCAGTACGTCTGGCGCGACGCCGGGACTCGCTACTGGCCACGGTGGATTCGACACGCGGTGTGCAGAGAAGGCTCCACTTGTTCCTGGCCACCGGGCATGCAATGCAAACCCAGTGGAAGCAAGACTCTTACCGTACTCCGATGGGTAAGTACAATCCATTTTGTCCTGCTCGCCTGTACGACACACGCGGTGTGACGGGAGGTATAAAAGACCACCCCCACCCCACCCCTAACAACCGTTCTGTCTGTAGGCAAGATCTTCCCAAACCTGAACCGTCTGTGTAGCTGGGTGTTGTGTAGACCACTGGCAATTATACGCTTTGTACAACATGACAAATAAGTTGTTTTAGTGCAGAGTGAAGGGGGGAAAGAGACTTGTTGGGTCCTGTTGAATGGAAACTTCCCATGCGCGACGTATCCGCGGTTGTCTGCAGCAAATATTTCTCACCATTACCCGCACAACTAAACACGCGTCGTGTGTGGATGGGTGTCTAGCGTGGACAACGCACAAGCGAACGATATTTGTACCAGTGAAGTTTACTACACAGACCAGTTACATGATCGTCCTTCAAGTTCGCGAGAGAGTCTGATGGTGTCTAGAAGGGATTTGCAAAACTGAGTGAAATCGGCGTAATGCCAGTCTTGGCAGCTATTCGCCAAGACGGTTACTTTAGAAATGACAATAACAGATAGTGCTTCATTAGATAGTTAGTGAAAGGGGAGGAATTTGGTAGGTTTATAAAATTCATAGTCTAAGAGCGTTCATTTCTGTGAATACTTAAGCATGTAGTCGTGGTCACAATCGCAGAACTGAATGCACACAATAAGGCGACAAAGCGATTGTCGCGTAACTCACCACGGTTATTGGAATTTGAAACCGTGAATTGGTGAGAACCATGGCAATTTAGGAATACTTGTAAAAACATGTGTTTACCTGAACTACAGCGACCTCTTAATGTCCTAATCTGACTGATTTTAAGCGCGTGTGATTGTTTGCTAGCAAAAAAATATTGGTTTGTACCGTAAATCTTTTGATTTGATTACATATTTAGCCACAGATATAATTCTGATAGCATCATAGCTTTCAAATGGCATATTAGCCAATCACAGACGCGTCGAGCTACTCGCATTAGCATTTATCGATTGTAGCCAATCAATGCAGTGTTGAGAAATGCCGTTTTGGCATTGATCGGAGCCATGACAACAGAGTGCATGTAGCATAGTCAGTATATTTTAGCGGTTTTAAAGTAGATTTTTTTACAAATTCACCCGTTTGACCTTTCTGTCAATTTGCAATTTCTTCCGAACTCCAGATTTCGAGTTTATCAAGTGTCAGATAGGTAAAGATAACGCAGAGGTTTTGGGTCAAATCAAACATGATTCACCCCAGATCTGAGAAGTACTTTTGTGGCAGAAACCATCAAGTGTTTTGGGAGAAATGCGTGATACTTTTTTTCTAATCACGACAACTGGTCGCGCATTAAGTCCTGGAAACATGCACGAATGCCAACCGCCCTTCCAGGCGCATATATACACCTGTTTTATGCGTGCTGTAGTGAGGATGTCTGGTATTAATCTGGGCCACGTAGGGATGATCTATTGGTTGTTTTTGTCATAAATGTGGCAAGCATGTTTGCGCGATTACGCGCCTCTCCGCAGCGTCGTCTCACTCAATCCCGACTTTACCACACTGAGGGGATTTTGGTGTAAATCAGTTGCAAGTCATTCATTACTGACAAGAAATCAGGTGTGCTGTAGACGGTCGTTTCGTGTGCGACTGCTCAATGGGAGTCGTAAATTAGGAGGCCGACGGTGACCTTTAGTGGCTGTCCATAAATTGTTTGCCTTATGAAAACGATAATGTTCCGACTCGGCATGTAATGCTCTTTATTTATCGACGCTTGTGGTATTTATTAGCAGTTTCTGCTGGCACCGGTTATGCGCAATAAATAGTCAAGTAGGGGGTCGTTAAAGGTACGGCAGAAGAGGAGGAAGAGGAGGTGGTGGTGGGGGTGGGGGTGTCGTGGCAGTTGGCACATTTGTCGCTGCCTTCACATGCTTTCCCACGCAGAGACCTACAGATTTCTGCAAAAGGCGAAGAAAAGTCGCTTCAAGGAGGAGGTCTGTGGTGAAAGAATTTGACTGGAAACAAGCATAGCGACACCACAGTAGAAATGCAGCATTCTCATCGACACTGGCATTATTCTACACAAGTTTACCGCTAGCGGATATGATAGCCTTAGGTCGTTTCCAAGGCAACGTAATCACACAAGTTCAGTGTGTGGGCAGTTGAGTTAGTGGCACGCTTGCAGCACCACGTCCATTGTACCATGTAGCCACCATCACGTCTGAGTCGTCTAACGGACAGCATCTGGATGAGAATTGTCCGTACCGTGAATTTCCAGTGTGGCGGAGATCAACTTCTTGGAAATCCTTAATGTGAGGAGTTCATTTGCCTGGATTTCCAGACATTTTCAATACACTAACGTTACGTGGGTTTGACTCAGGTTCAGTTGTTGGCGTAGGTGTGTTGTCTGTTCAAAATGCCAGTAGTTCACATGTTCCCTTTGACACTGTTGACATCCTACACAATCTGATTCTCCCCGACGTTCTCATGACTTGAAGATCTGGCTTTCCAGGCTTGAGCTACGCTCAGATTTCCCTCCAGCATGGTTCACAGTCTCTCCTGAAGCTGTTGGCTGTCCAGGTTCTCTTTTCACAACGCAATCAAATTTCCTCTTGAAAATACTGCATACTGGGTGCTAGCATTTGACCGAGGTTGGACTAAATCCACTACAGGAAACAATGTTTTTTGTCACAGTAAAAGGCAAATGTGATTATTACTAGGTAAAATGCCAAAATATGCGACG